CAAAGATGCCTTTGAGGGATGAAGGATTTGTCGAGGAAAACAGAATACTGGGTACCGTAGTCCACTGTTTTGTTTGTCTTTGCCTAGTAATTTGGGGTGGGGGTGGTTGCAGGAAAGAACACCCCCGCTTTCTGCAGCTTTCCCTGGGACCTGTGGGTGAAGGCTCCGTGCAGGGGAAGGCCGGCTGGGATTCTGTCTGTCTTAGGTGCTGACTAACTTAGTCCCCTGCCTTGGCTTTCCAGGTGTTAGGTTTACAGATGCTTTGTTGTTGGGGAACCTGGAGCTCGCTGATTTGGCTAGACTCTGTGGCCGGTAGGTCCTAAGGATTCTCCTGTGGCTGCCTTCCGAGCGCTGAGATTACAGGCACGCACGGCTGTGTCTGGATTGTACATAGATGCTGGGACTTAAAGTCAGGTCCTCAGCTTCATGGCAAGTGATTTAAGTCTCCCAGCCCTGTGGTCACGTCTTATAGGTCACAAGCTTGTTGATGGGAGTGGGGAGGGGGACGGGGGGCGGGGCTATTTTCTATGTGTCCTCTGTAGTGCCCCAAAGTGTAGATCCTTATACCTTGGAATGCTCAATATATGTTTGATGAATGAATAGATGAGATATGTGGGTTACTATGGGATGTAATTATCACAAAGTGAGAGCAGTGACAGATGGAAGCGCAAGAGAGGACAGGGTGTGGCTGAGAGTCCCTGGTCCCCTTTCCCATCCACCTGAGGAGGTGCCACAGCAGACGCAGACATGACACCCTTTGCCCTTGTTTCTCTGCTCATTTCATTCAACAAAGACCAAGCCTGGGACAGATGAATGAACAGCCATGTCTTTCTGCCCTCCTTGTTTTTCTGAGATGCTGGGAGGAGGCTAGCTTCCGCTTAGTAATTAATTGCTTGACCCTCCTGGGACAAGCCTAGCCTGAGTAAGCACTTGAGCTGAAGTCCCTGTGCCCTGCCTCGCTGACATCTGGGCCCAAAGCTCCACCCTTCCCGTGCCTGGCACTCAAGGTCAGGCCTGGAACCAAGGTTCCATCAATTCCAGAGCTGCTTCTGAGGCCCTCCCTGCCACCATTGCCCTAGATGGCTCTCGGCATCGACCTGGTTGCAAAGCAGGACCCAAAGTTCTCTGAGAAAGGTCCAACACCATTGTCCACATGCTTTAAATAATTTAGCTGCATCAAATATTCAGATTTGTGAGAACAATAGCAACTCTATTTAAAAACCCCAAGCGTTTGATGGATGAACTGAGTGCCTCCCAGCAGTTCCCAGCACCAGGCTCACACTTTACATGTCTCTTAAGAGTGGCTCGTGCTCCTCTGGGCCAGGCTGCCACTCACAGCGCTGACTGAAGATCAAGTGGAAACTCCAGTCCCAGAAGTGAAATTTCATGGGGTGCAGCATGTCTCACGCCCCACCTCTCTGAGAAAAGAGACATTCCTATGAGGAAGCTGGGACTGGATGCTGGCATGGAGGTCATATTTTCTGCATCGGTGGTTCATGTGAGCTATTCCTATGGGACTGTACTGTGGAGTGTGGTGTGTGTGTGTGTTTCTGAGTTTTGGAGTGTGAAACTGGTGCTTTCTCACAAAACATCATTTTAGGTGGGAACCGAATGTGATACCCGCTGAAATTGCATTGAAGCTTAAGATGTGTGTTTTAACAGCAACTGCCACTTATTTCCAATATTTCCAAGGTTACACCTGTGCTTAGCATTCGGGTGTCCAATATCCACACTCAAAAGACAGTGGAAAAAAACTGGCTGGGTGGGTGGGGGTAAAGACTGAGAATAATGATATACATGTCACAACCCCCACGTGTTTGTATTCTAATTAAAAATTAATAAAAGTAAGAAAGAAAAGATAAGGCTTACAGATATTGCTGGAAGTTACATTAGGGACAGAAGGAGCTCAGGCCAGGGCTCTATCTCCATCATGCCACAGTGTTTCTTGTCTGGTAAGTTTCTAGAACGCTCTACATGGTCCCATCCCTAATGTTGGAGGATACTTCTTCCTCCGTGGTTTGATCCCTGGGAGGTAAAGGAGGAGGGCTGTGTGTGTGTGTGTGTGTGTGTGTGTGTGTGTGTGTGTGTGTGTGTGTGTGCAGTATGGAGGGCTTTCTGGGGAGCTGGTGAGGTTCTATTTCTTCATCTTGGAGCTGGTGCTCCTTGATAATCCATTTAGGAACATACCCGAGATTCAGGATCTTTGCTATTTTCCTGTAAAAAGTTCATTTTTTAAAATCCTAACTAGTGCCAGGTGGTGGTGGTGCAGTACTTGGGAGTACTTTAATCCCAGTACTCAGGAGGCAGAGACAGGAGGATCTCTGTGAGTTTGAGGCCAGCCTGGTCTACAGAGCAAGATCCAGGACAGGTACACAGAGAAACCCTGTTTTGAAAAACAAAACAAAAACAAAAACAAAAAAAATCCTGACTAGGGGGTTGGAGAAATGGCTCATGGTGAAAAGCAGTGTTTGCTGTTCCAGAGGACCTGGGTTTGATTCAAAACCAAACCAAACCAACCAATCAAACTAACAGACAAAATCCCCTAAATGGGCAAATGGGCATGGTGTCACATGCCTAGAAACCCAGAACATGGATCATGAGTTCAAGGTCAGCCTCTGCTACTGTGAGGTTAGTGATAGAAGACACCACCCGTTGGTCTCCACACACGTATGCTTAGGTACTCGAACATGATAGGTGCATATCACATACACATACATCAAATCCTAGCCACCAGTGTTGTATAGGAAATATGCCTCTTATGGCTAATACATTCTAATGAATCAACAGGGATTTCTTGAACTCTAGAATAATGCAAGATTTAAAACAACTCCACTGTGTCCATGCCCTGACGTTTTGCAAAGGGTTTTGCAGGTGGATCCCTCCCCAAAAAAGTCATGTGAAACAATAAAGTAGCTCTAAGAGGAGGTTGTCAGCACCATACAAGGAGAGACTTCCTTACCCACGCGCGTGCGCGCACGCGCACACACACACACACACACACACACACACACACACACACACACACACACGTCACTGCATTGAGTACCACGGAGAATTCAAGGTGAACTCCTGTTGATGTGTTAGTGACTGCATTGAGAAGACCAGGCATTCACAGTTGTAAGGGGACACTTGTTTTCAGACAGAGTGAAACCTGTTAGAACAAAATCGCTCTTTCTCTGGTGATCAATAAAGCCCAAAGGAAGCGAAGGTTTTCGTGTGTAGATGAGAGAAGTGGGGAAGACCGCATCTGATCAATAATTTGAAAACCCTGACTTCCCAATCTTTTAAAGCTTTCAAAAATGAATATTTATATCTTTGTATCATGGTTTAAAATTAGAGCGACTCTTGGGCTGGAGAGACTGTTCAGGGGTTAGGAGCACTGGGGGCTCTTCCAGAGGACCCTGGTCCTGCTTCCAGTGCCCACGTGGTGGTTTGCGACTGTAATTCCAGTTCTGTGGGGTCTGACGCCCTCTTCTGGTCTCTGCCAGCAGTGCATGCACATGGCACATGGATTTGCATGTAGGCAAAACACCCATACCGGTAAAATAAAGATGAGAAAGTCTTTTTTAAATTTTGGAGAGACCTACATATTTATTATGTTTAGTCACCAAGCTGGTTTTGTCATTGGTCTGTTGGTAAGGTCCCTTGTTTCCACGTGCTTTACAGTGGACTACATTCACAGCATCTGAGAACACAGTCCTTATTCTGGTTCACGTCAGACTGAGGGTTCTAAAACTCCCAGACTTTTCTCTGGACCCTAAATGTCCAGAGATCTGGAGGGAAAAGGCACCCAGGTTTCTCAAACCTGTACACCTGCACCACTCACTAGTGGGCTTTCTATTATTTGGATCAGCCAGCAGGGCACAAGGCATGCATCTGAAACTTAGATGCCCATGTTTACTCCCCTAGGATCTTGTTAAAATGCAGAATCACTAAGCAGGTCTGAGATGCTACTTCTTAACTGGCTCCCAGGTAACACTCACATTGCTGGCCCCTGGGACCATACTTGTTGAGAGGTTCTACAGGGGTACAGCGAACAGGAGACTCAACTTGGACTCACAATCCTTGGCTTTTAGCCACTTTGCTTCTCTGTACTTATTTTAAAACAGAGAAGGACAAATGGGATTATTTCAAGGTTTACATTTATAGACCTCTTGGGGGGGGGCATCTGTTTCGAGTACAGCAATTTGTCTGCAATTTGAACACTAATCTCTCTGTCTCTGTCTCTCTGTCTCTGTCTCTCTCTGTCTCTGTCTCTCTGTCTCTGTCTCTCTGTCTCTCTCTGTCTCTGTCTCTCTGTCTCTGTCTCTCTGCCTCTGTCTCTCTCTGTCTCTGTCTCTCTCTGTCTCTCTCTCTCTCTGTCTCTGTCTCTCTCTCTCTCTCTCTCACACACACACACACACACATACACACACACACACACACACACACACACACACACACACACACACACACACGGGCTCACTACATAGCCAAGACTGACCTGGAACTTCCCTACGTAGCCCAAGTTGGCCTTGAACGCATGATTCCCCTGCATCATCTGCCTTCTGCAAGTACTGAGATCACAGGCATGCACTTCCACACCCAGCTACAGATCACTGCTATGGATGTTTCAGCCAGGTGGATCACTGCTCCCGGGTTATACCGAGCTGGAGCTTGACAGACACAGCTGGAGAAACGCAGCCTCCTACAAGACTCAGGGAAAGCTCTGACACTTGTGCACAGGATTTCAAATGGCAGAAGAAAGAGAAAAGGAGGTGGGTGTATGGGGAGGAGAGGGTTAACTGAATGAATGAATGCAATACCCCATAATTTGGGCCTCGGGAGGCGGCCCCTCCCCCAGTGTGCACTCTCTTTTGAACATCAAACAGGATCACACAGAAAGGCTTTGCCCAGGATCACAGATACTCGCTAGTGTCTCCTTTAAGTCCCAAAGCAAAAGTCAGGGGAACAGAGAGAACTTCCGGCGTTGATGTGGGCACCCCGGGGGAGAGTTTTACCTTATGTAGAACATGCTCGCTGAAGTGAGGGCCAGCTCCGCCCTGGTAGGAGTCGGGTCTCTGAAGATCCATGTCCATCTCAGAGCCAACTGCTCCCAGCTCTCCCAGGGCTCTGCGTCAGCGCTCCCAGCAGCTCGGCCCTGGGCTCTGCGGGGCGCGGCAGGCTCAGTCCCTCCAAGCACCACAGGGGCACCGCCGCATCAGCACTGGACAGCTCCTAAGGCGGCCTAGGCGGTACCGACTAGATACCTATTTCCTCCCCTAGATCCCAAAGGTTCAGAGTTCAGCAGGAGAATTGCTGTTGTGCACCGGGGACCAGAGTTCTGAGATGCTCGCAGCCCGGGATAATCTGTCTTGTGACTCCAAGATGCTGAGAGCGACGCAAGATTTTGAGGCTAGCTGAGGTATATGTGCGCATCGCATTTGGGAGGATCAGCTGCACCGCTGCGTCCTCCCGGTGCTGTGGTCCAGAGCTCCGGGTTCCCCATCCTCAGTGACCCAGCATCTCCCTTAATGGCTCAACTCAGCTCTCCTCTGCTTTGGCGCTGGCGCTGCTTTTCTTTTGGTCCCTAGACAGTTCCCTTCAGGAGATAAATAATTGGTCCAAGTCTGAGGCTGGTAGAGGCTGATAGAAAGTGGGGGCTGAGGTCTCTGAAATAAGCAAACTTCTGCTCAGCTGAGGAGAGGACACAGACCCACCCTCTCAATACATATGACCCCAAAGTCAAGAACAATTGGCCCAGGAGAGGCAGGATGGTAAGAGCACAGGATCCAGAATTCTGACCTCAACTTTGAAAGTTGTAGCATTGGGCCAGCTCAGCCTAAAGGCATGAGGAGCTTGCTGGAGTTCTAGCTCAGTGGTAGAGTGCTTGCTTAATGTGTGCAAGGCCCAGAGTTCTGATCCCCAGTATTGCAAAATAAATATAGAGAATGATTGTAATACCTACCTTACGGTGTTGTTATGAATATTTTTTTTAAAAAAGACTTATTTTGCTGGGTGTGGTGGCACATGCCTTTAATCTCAGCACTCAGAAGTCAGGGGTAGAGGTGGGCAGAGCTCTGTGAGTTCAAGGCCAGCCTGGTCTACATAGTGAGTTCCAGGCCAGTCAGGGCTACATGATGAGGTCATGTCTCAAAAACAAAATCCCTCTAAAATATTTATTTTATTTTTACTTATGTGTATGTGTGTGCATCTGTGTAAGTATATGCACACATGGTAGAGGTGCCCACAGAAGTCAGAAGAGGGTGTATGATCCCCCAGACTTACAGGCAGTTGTGAGATGCTGGATGTGGGAATCGAACTCCAGTCCTCTACAAGAGCAGCAAGCACTCTTAACTACTGAACTCTCTCCCTCCAGCCTGGGTTCTAAGATTTAGTGAGTTAATTCACATGCCTGGAACAGTGCCCGGAATATACTCAGAGCTCATAAGTGCAGGTAACATACTCTCTGGATGAGGAGACAGCGCTCTCGCGGTGACTGTCTCTAAACACCACAGGAGTTCCCTGCTAGGACATCTGATCATTAGTGTTTCATTCCGTCTGATGATAAACCCTCAGGTGTTTGTCTGAGAAAATCTGAATAGATTCTAAGTTGACAAGCACCTGCATAAGCACTTAAAATACAGTGTTCTTCTTTCCTGCTTGCATACTTTCTGACAAGATGGTTGCCGAAACCATTTGTTCTAGTCCCTGGGTGAAGGGACTTTTTCCTTCCCTCAGCCTCTCAAGACCTTTTCGTCCTTGGGTGCCTTTTGAAAATGATACAAGTTGATGTAGGGTTTAAAAAATTATTCTGGGAGCATGGAGAGATGGCTCCGTGATTGAGAGTGCAAACAACTCTTTTAGAGGGCTGCAGCTTGATGCCCAGCACCCACGCTGGGCAGCTCACAACTGCCTGTGACTCTGCTCCAGAGGGAAACTGATGCCCTCTTCTGGCTACCGTGGGCACTGCACTCATGTCCATACATACACATAATTAAAAGTAACAAAAATATACCTTTTTTATATTTAAAAAAATAACATTTAAAACATATCCTATTCGATGTTTAAGATTCATGGTTTGGTTTCTGTAATTACTTTTGGAACATTCTAAGCAACCAGGACTGCACAGATTTCTTCTGCCTTGTTTTTCTGTATTATTTTGGCAGTCTAGCTACTACACGTATGCTACAGCTTTTGAAATTATCCAACAGTTCTTGATCTTCTATTGGTTTTCTTTTCCTCTGTGTTTTCACTGGGGGTGGGCAATGCCTTGCCCATTAGGCAACTGGGGCATCTGTGTTTTCATGTGGGAATTTTCAACTGATCTGTCTCCAAGTTCATCATTTCTTTCTTCAGGCATATCTAATCTACTGCCTAGCCCATTAAGGTCATTGCTGTTATACTTTTAGAAAATATTTATTTTAAAAATTTATGTATAGCTGGGTGGTGGTGGCATCGGCAAACACCTTTAATCCCAGCATTCTGGAGGCAGAAGCAGGCAGATCTCTGAGAGTTCGAGGCCAGCCTGTTCTATAGAGCTAGTTCCAGGCAGCAAAGGCTATACAGAGAAACCTTGTCTTTAAAAATTAAAAAAAAAAAAGGAAAAGAAAAAAGGAAAAAAAGCCCTATGTGTCTACGTGTGTGCCTGCATTAAGTTATGTGAATTACATGCCTACAGGAGCCCATGAAGGCCAGAAGAAGGTATCAGATCACTTGGAAGTGAATTTACAGGTGGTTATAAGTCAACATGTGGGTGCTGGGAACCGAGCCAGGTCCTCTGCACAAGCAGTAAGTGCTCTTAACCACTAAGCCATCTCTCCAGCCCCTCTGTCGTACTTAACATTATTTCAGCTTACATCATCCACACGTTGTTGCATGTTGCTTACTTTATTAACAGTGACCCTGCATTCATTATCAAGTTATCTTAAATAGTCCAGAAACATTAAAACCCTCTCAGCCTTTTTTCCTCCCACTTGACGCTGGGCTTCCTTAAGTCACTCATGGAGAATGAGCCTGTGTCTCGGCAACCCTTCCAGCTGCATCCACCGTTGCTATATTAGAGCCTTGCTAGTTCAGTGATGGTGGGCGAGTCCTCCGGTGCAATCAGCCTGTGAGTGTGCATTGCTGGCATGTGGCAGTCACACTCACGCCAGCCCACGTCCAGTCTCTGGGGCTTCCTCGACATCAGCAGTGAAGCTTCCCCACCAAGCTGTGGCTCCTGCTCCACGGGGGCAGATCTCAGCTGTGGCTTTTTGAGTTCACTGTCCTCTGCAGATTCCAGGGCAACAGTTTGCCCTGCAAACCCAGCTCCCTGATGGGCCAAGAAATGTTATTGATTTTCAGTTTGCCTGGCTTTTTCTTGATGCTGGTCTAGGAATGACAATTTCCGGCGTTTTACCTGTCGGCGCTAAAACTCAAATTTAGAATTGAAGTATTATCTTTCTTGGGGGAAAAAAACACCCTCAAATATTTGCAATCTTCAGTCTCTGCTTTTGGGTCTTTTTTGAAAAGTTTTAAAATTGAAACACTAATTTTAAAAGACAAGCTATTCTTTAAATTGTTCTCTTTGGGTTGGCCTCTTTTTGAGGGTTGAGGCAGCTCCAGCAGCAAGCGCTGTTACCCACCCGAGGATTCATCTTGCTGGCCCTACTTTTGTTCATTTTATTTGTGTTTTTGTTGTTTGATTTAGGTCTTTATTTTCCTTTTTAGACTAGGGTTTTCTATGTAGCCCAGGCTGACCTCCCATTCATGATCCTCCTGCCTCAGCCTTTTGAGTGCTGGGACTATGAGTGTGGTCTCACTATTTTTGTTCATTTCATGTCACAGATCCACCTCCATTCTCTTTGCCCATTTCTTCCTTGCTCCAAAATGCCCCGACCTGGGGAGGAAAGGGTTTACTTCATCTTGCACTTCCATCACCAGGAGAAGTCGAGGCAGGAACCCTGAGGCAGGAACCCAAGCGGGGACCATGGAAGAGCAGTGTTTATTAGCCTGCTTCCCTTGGCTTGTTCCCTTACCTTTCTTTTTTTTTTTTTTTTTTTGGTTTTTTTCAAGACAGGGTTTCTCTGTGTAGCTTTGCGCCTTTCCTGGTACTCGCTTTGGAGACCAGGCTGGCCTCGAACTCACAGAGATCCACCTGCCTCTGCCTCCCGAGTGCTGGGATTAAAGGTGTGCGCCACCACCGCCGCCCGGCCCCTTACCTTTCTTATACAGCTCAGGACCACCTGCCCAGGAGTGACAACACCCACAGTGGGCGGGGCCCTCTGACATCACTCAGCAATAAAGAAAATGCCCCTACAGACTTGCCCTAGAGGTCAATTTGATGCAGACAGTTCCTCAGCTGAGCTGCCCTCTTCCCAGGTGTGGCTATTAGTCAGGATTCTCTAATTTATTTATTTTATGTGTATGAATGTTTTGCCTCCATTTGTGGATGTGCACCACTTGTGTGCCCAGTGCCCTCAGAGGTCAGAAGAGGGAGTTGAACCCCCCTGGAATAGAGTTATGAGTGATTATGTCGGTGCTGGGAACTGAACCCAGGACCTCTGCAAGAGCAACAAGTCCTCTTAACCGCTGATCTATCTCTTCAGTCTCCCACACACACATATTTATTTTTAAGTGATACAGTCAGGGTGCTAAAGAAGAGTAGAAAACTCTCCCGAGGGTAGAAGTAGGCTGCTGAGCTGGAAAAAGACAGATGTTCAAAAAGCCCATTGCATTATTTACTTCAGGGGGTGCTTTTAAAATAGTGATTCCCTAGTTTTCTGAAAGCTCATATTAATTTATTGAATTCTGTGCTGTTTTATTCATATTATGCTGGGTAAACAGTAGACCTTTTCAATCTGAAGATAAAGTATCCCCCATAGGCTCCTATGTTTGAATATTTGGTTCCTAGGCAGATTCTGGAACTTTTAAAAGGTGGACCCTCTCTGGATGAAGTGGGTCACTGGGAATGAACCGTAAGGTTTTATGGCCCAGCCTTGCTTCCTATCTGCTCTCTGCTTCCTGTTCTGCCAGGTTATAGGGAGTCCTAGCTGCACACATAGACGCATGCCACCATGCCTTGCCTCCATGATAGACTATATCCTCCTGTTGCAGAATATTATTTTAAGATGTGTTACATTTGTTTGTCCTGTGGAACACTTGTTTAATGATGCAAAGATGTGTTGCATTCTTTTATGTTGCATTTGTTTAACTCTGTGAAGCTGTGTTACTTTACCTGTCTAAAACACCTGATTAGTCTAATAAAGAGCTGAATGGCCAATAGCGAGGCAGGAGAAAGGATAGATGGGGCTGGCAGACACAGAAGATAAATAGAAGGAGAAATCTGGGAGGAGAGGAAGAAAAAGCAAGAGAACAAGGAGAGGAGTATGGTGATATTTTATTTGTATTAAAATGTTATTTGTATGTTAATAAATAAAGTTGCCCGGGGGTCAGAGCTATTAGCAAGCCATAGGAAAGCAGGGCAGTGGTAGCTTACGCTTGTAATTCCAGCACTTGGTAGGCAGAGCTGGGTAAGTCTCTGTGTGTTCAGGGATACAGCCATTATTGGATACACATGCCTTTAATCTTAATACCAATCATGGAAAACCTGGAGGCCTATACAGACAGGCCGTGAGGAGGCGGTCATGTGGTTGGGTTTACAACCAATGAGAAGGCAGG